GTGAGGAAGGTGCGCAGGTGCAGGAAAAGAACGTGTGGATTCAAATTTAAAGGAAGGACATAGGCAGCATAGGGGGGCCTCCCACTAATGAATATTCATGACCTCTAGTAATAAAAATAATGGTTAACTAGTACCAAGCTGGTTGCCACCTGGCAATCTGGCCGCCCAACAACCCTTTTGGGTGTACGTTCTTTCCTTTCCTTTCTTTTTATTAAATCTTTTTTTCTATCTACTTCATTAGTGGTTGCGGTTTCATTTTGAGCCTAGGGACAGATCTCTTCTTTTAGTGATCTGGACCCAAAGAACCAAGGATTTCACAACGCAGCTCAACACTCTCCCATCCGTTAACAAGTCCTTATTAAAAGGACATGTGTGGGGACCAGCGGTTGGCAAGAATGGAGGAGAAGGGATTGGGACGTGGCCATCCCCCCTGGGGGGTGATTTCTCCCTCCGTCTTTCTGGCAAGCAGAAGCACCCTATAGCAAAAACCTCTCAAATAAAGCGGAAGCACCCTATAGCAAAAACCTCTCAAATAAAGCGGAAGCACCCTATAGCAAAAACCTCTCAAATAAAGCGGAAGCACCCTATAGCAAAAACCTCTCAAATAAAGCGGAAGCACCCTATAGCAAAAACCTCTCAAATAAATACATACATACATACATGCATGCATACATACATGTGTGACAGCACACTAGTCATTTGGGGCATAACCTCCCATTTTAAAGTAATTGAGCTGTGTAGTATTTCCTCGCCTGGGGGTCGACTGTTGTGTTGTCTCTCCTTAACTTTATATTTCTTCTTTCTCCATTGTCCTTCTGCAAGTTACAAAGCCCCAAAACTAAGGTATGAGAAAAGTCCAGCTGAGCCACTCCCATGGTCTAAGCCATCTTTTTATTTCTGATTGTTCCTTTTACTATAATCTGAGGGATTGTTCATATGTATAATTTAGCACACACTTCATGTAGCATTTTCCCAGTGGAGTTTTTTTGAATCTCGACCAATTAATGTTCAAATCCTTTGATCTCTGATCTGTTTCCTCACCCAGTTCATTCTAGAATTGACAGTGGCCCCTAGCGCTTTTTGTATCATTTCTAAACTTTGGCATCTAAATTCAGCTCTTCCATCCATGCTAAAATGTCTATAATGGTGGTCCTGCTCTCAACAAGACAACATGGTTTCTTTAGTATGTCCCGCAGTGCATTGGTATGTACTTAACAGGCCACTTCTTACATCCTATGATACCCGCCATCTGCTTTTTTTTTTTTTTTCAAATTTTTTTATTCAGTAAAAGGGA